CACACAGACTGTGAGTCAAGCAATCACCCAGAAGCGCTACCTTGGATTATTAATTCATACCGATTTGCTTTGCTTCGAACATTCTGGAAAGCGCCAACATGTTGGCATTGTGAGGTGGGCATTCGGCCAAGTTCATCTACCTGTCTGTTCACAGATACTTAACACATACGTGCAGTCTCATGTGGAATTTGTAATCCAGGTCTGACATCCATGGAACAAGCAAGACCTCGTGGCGCTGGAGACTCCGCAGCGAAGTGTCACCAAGCACGTCAAAAATTTTTTTCACCTTTCATGCCAGCTTAGGTTGAGAACCCTACAGCGGTCTGTAACTGCGGTTGCGCGGCGATCTGATAATGGCTTACCACCTGTTCGTCCACCTACTGCAACTTAGCCAAAAGACGAATCTGAAGGGATACCAGTTCAAATTGGCAATGCAATACGTTGTTTTCGCCCCCACATTATCTAACGTGTGTCTGAAAAGTACGGTGAATTGTCCCATATGTTGAAAATCGCGGTGGTCAAGGTGATCCCGCGCATACGCATTACGAGACATGTAAGCAAATCACCGAAGTGTAGCGATTCTGCGCGCTGCGATCAAGCTAACGGTGTCCGCGTGAGAACCTATGTAGTTGCGAATAGAGCGCAACATAGAGGAACATGTTAAAATGAAGTTTTGATTCAAATTAGGCAGAACGCTGATGTAGGCCCCTCAACTATTAGTGCAAGCTTACGACTTTGAAGCATCGAGTAAAAAGGGTGTTTAGGCTGTCTGAACGCTTCAGAGTCAAAAAGGAAGGGGCCGACGATTAGCCGTGTTCAGGTCGACCATCAACAAGCTTAATCCCCACTGACATCCAACGAGTGCGGCGGATGCATGCGGATGCTCGGCTGCTGTCTTTAAAAACGGTAACCGAAGTGTTGAACGCAAGCTGAATTGTTTAAGAACATTTGCAAAAGCGAAATGATCTGTGCACGGTTTGAACCACACACGCTGACAGATGAGAAGAAGCAAGTCGGAGGGTAACGTCTAGAGAACGCATCGACCTGTCTGACCGGATTCCTCAGTTTGTGGAAACCATCGTTGCAGCACATGAGACCCGATGCTGTCAATACGATCCGGAGACCAAGCGACACACACTGGCATAGTTGGTATCGTCATAAATAAGCACTGAAATGCGTACGCTACACAGACGTTGCGGATATCCAACAACACATGACCACGGTGCTTTGAGCGATTCCACAAGATGCGTTTGCTGACAGTTTCCAACAGTTGTACAACCGATTTCAGAAGTGTGTTTTAGCTAATGGGGATTGTTTTGATGGTCAGTGAAAGTATTTTCTTTGTAACTTGTTTCCTTAATTTTTTGAAACTATTCGCTGAAGTTTTCAGATACATCTTGCCTGTGTGTACAACACTTAGGGGTTGCTCTAACTCATGGACTCTAGCCTGTGTGCCTCAATAAGGGACATAATTTGACAAACGGTGCACAACTGGCATTAACCAGCACAATCAAGACCTTGCTTTTCCAATGCCCCGATGTAAGAAGTATAGTAAATCCAACAATATGCTTTACACTATAGCAACGATTTCCTTTTCTCCATTTTGTGGTTCCCACGGGACTTGTTACGTATTTGCCTTTCTATCCGTAATACACCAGTGTTACATTTATTCCATTGTGAAATGTAGTCCCAACTGAGGTTGCAACAGGTCAAGGTCATCCACACACGCGCTTGACGTGCGTGGTCCTGGGTCATTTGGATTATTCTTCTCTACCATCTCTCCATCTTCTCACAGCGTTGTCACTGCACGCTCATTCGAACCGAAGTTACTAGCCCTACACACTGATCCATCACATATGGAATTATCTTCTACGATTAAAGTCCGTGCTATCATTAACCGTTACCACTGTCATTCGTGATTAAGCGCAAGCGGATACCTCAACCACATTGAGCCGATTGCCTTACCGTGTGACACCATTCGATACAGAATTCTCGAGGCAGGCCGGAAAGTCTAAGCTTATTCCGATCTGGCGTTTCTCAACACAGCTGTGAAAGAGTTTGTGATCTCTCAATCTGTGTTCCCCGCTGTGTTAGCAGGTTCCAATCAATCGCCAACCCTTGTGACCTTGTCAGCTAGTGCGCCTGTAAAACACATCACACGGACCGCGCGACCACGCCGACCACTCATTTGACCTTGCAACCATCCCGCTTGCCCGACCGATGTGCGCCGCTCTCAAAGCTGGAAAAGTACAGAACGCCAGTCAACCTAGTGGGTCAGGTAATGACACCACGTTGAATGGCAGAAATACTAATCCGAAAACGCTCCAAGCAAAAGGCTTTTTCGGGTTAAGAGAATGTCATCTATTAGTTAAAATAGATTTGGCTTGTTTGCACTGTTTGGAATGATAGCATCCAAACTGTGAAAACGTGTCCCAACAACAAGTACAAGAGCGAAGTAGCTCACAAGCTGCGCTTTGGTTCGGTACTGCCTGTTCGACAATCCTATTCGTTAAATACTTGCAAATCCCATTCCAGAAGTGCGACCTTTTGGCCGCAAAAGCCGAGCAGCGGATGAACGATAAGGTTATTTAAATGGAAGCGAGTATGTACCAAGGAAGCGTAGCGGCGGTAAGCAACGGAATGCTGCGCAATCCGCTTTCCCTCTACCGCAATCAGACACTTCTCCATCTCCGTTGTCTTCTCCAACTTTGGTAGAACGCCGGGCTGAAACTGACCGCAGCTACGAGAGTCAAACAGCACTAATGGCAACGTAAATCAGGCACTACTGGAAACGTCTGGTTAAGAAAATTGCACTAGACCTGACATCTAGCATTAACAAGGACGAAGCAGCCAAACTCCAACCCTCTGTCCCTGTGGCTCAAGAGTCTCTTGTCCAACCAAAGCCACCCGGAACATCGGGTACATATGCAGAGATTGCTGCAAAGGTCAGCCGGGAGGCCGCCGTTGAAGCCACTTCTGTAGTAAACACCGTTAA